TGCTGTTGTTCCCAAACGCTTCCATTTTGTTATAATAGAGCTGACAGTTGACTGTGGAATATTTAGGAGCGAGGACATTTCACGACTGGATTTGTTGCACAGGTGGCATCCTATGACAGTTCCACGCTGGAATTCACTGAGCTCCTGAGAGCGGCCGATTCTTTCACAAATGTCTTGTTTCACAGTCTGCATGCCTGAGTGCTCGATTTTATACACCTGTGGCCAGGCCAAGGGATTAGGACACCTGATTCTGATCATTTGAATGAGTGAGCGAATACTTTTAGTAATATAGCGTATATACATAATCTATATACACATATACACAAAAATACACAGAATATAATATTGAAATATAATGGAATATTGATATACATATCTACATTATGTACTGTAGATACATACCTACAGTATAAATATTTACAGTATACAGTACATATCTACAGTATACATATCTACAGTATACAGTACATATCTACAGTATGTGCTGTAGATATTTTAAAAGGCACTTTCTTCATTACCCCTAACAGAAGATTGGAAATTAAGTATACAATGTAGTGTTATATAAAATTAACATTTTATATATTTGGTATTTCTGTTTTTTTAATATATATTATATATCTTTTTTATTATTAACTATTTACTACAAATATGTTGTATTTTTTTTCTCACTACACAGTTCATTCACTGAACTTTCTGAGTTATACTGGTCACAAAAACAAGGCCAAAAACATAATCTCCTTGGCAATAGTAATGAAAAGGAAGTGTTCGAGAGTTAAAGGAATTTGGTCCGAGTAAGCTTAACATTATAGTGACGATAAAGTGGCCCTACGTAGCTTACGAGCAGAGTTGGCCAGCTGCAAACGAAATAGACAGAGAGACAGCAAAACGGGTCAGGAAGAAGAGAGATGCTGCTGTGTGTGTGTGCGCACGCGCATGTGTGATAGGGCACAGATGTTCTGTGGGTTGATGATAAGTGCAGAGCAAAGAACTCTTTGATGTGTTGCTTAAAGGACAATGAAGTTTGCAAGTTTCTGTTTGACTGTCTTACCATTTGATGTATGATCAATGATACAAGTAGTAAAGAAACATCATGAATTTGACTTTTTTCTTCTTCATCCTGTGGATTTTATAACGTCTAGACTACGTATTAATAGAAATGACATGGTGACTGATCATAATCCAACATGTAATTTATGTATTTACTCTACCGAATGTGTTGTGGTCATAATATTAGGTTTGTTTTAAGAGGGAAAAAACTGTTTCTATATTTCTTTCTAAATCTATAAATTTCACTACTTTTACAGGATATGTAAAAAAGGGCTGAAGGTTTATTGTTGTTTTCTTGATTAAAAGTAAAGTGCACTTCAGAGAAAAAAATGTATTTTTTATTGTAGTGGTCATATCCATATATTATATTATATCCATATATATAC